AGATACTCATACTAAGGGGGGCATTACCCCAAAAGATAAGGCCATACTTCAGTATCAAATGTACATAAGAGTAGTAAATCATCTTTCTTGAATCTAATGACATAAAGGGCTTTATTGCCCTGATTGCAAAATAGGTCTTATTTAATCTTGATGATAACACAGTAATATAATTCTTCCAAGACACGGTGCTATCAATAATTATTCTCAAAAATTTAGAGCAATTGATGCTAGTAATTAATGAGTTGGTTGATGTAATTTGGATTTCTATTTCTCTATGCTTCTTTAAAAAGAATTGTAAGAAATGTGTTTTATCACAATTTAGAGTTAAAAAGTTCCTATTAAACCATGTCATTGTTTCATTAAAAACTGAAATAATATTACTTCTAAATTCTTCAGGACTCGAATTAGATATAATAATACTTGCGTCATCTGCAAATAATATAGGTTGAGCTAATATCTTTAAGGTAAATGGGAAATCATTTATGTAAATAAGAAATAATAGTGGTCCCAATATAGAGCCCTGTGGAACTCCATATTTGACCTGCTCCAATTTTGAAAATACTTTATTAAGTTTAATATCTTTCATAATTGTTCTTTGATATCTATTTTCAAGGTACGATGTCATTAATTTGACTGCTGTACCCGAGATTCCATAAAAGTTCATTTTTTCCAGGAGTACATTGTGGTTGACACAGTTGAAAGCCTTTTGTAAGTCGCAGAATAAACCACCCATGTAATTTTTTTTTTTGTCTAGGGAAGTCAGTACATTATTTAGGCGATTGCATGTTGGAATTTCAGTGGATAATTCTTTTCTAAATCCGAATTGTTCCTTAACCAAGATATTTTTCATATTTAAATGGGAGTACAGTCTTTTATAAATAATTTTTTTAATGATTTTAGAAAAAGTTGGAAGAAGCGAGATAGGTCTGTAATTGGAGATTTCAGATTTATCACCTTTCTTATAGAGCAGTTTAACTTCAGAAAACTTCAGTCTCTCCAGGAAAATACCTGTTAGTAGGATCTTGTTACATAAATATATTAAAGGAGACAAGATATATGGAGCACTAGATTTCATAATTCTTAATGATATTTCATCATGCCATGAGAATTTTGGGGTTTCATTGACAATATTATTTCCTGAATTTCATAAGCATTTGTATTGCTAAAATTCATCTTTGGAAATTAGTGATAAAAATTCTGATGTAAATAAAATAAAAATTCTTCGTTATTAACAGAGGGATAACCAGAGTAATTATTATTAAGTAATTTTTCGGCTATGGATGAAAAGTAATTATTAAATGCATCTACAATACCTATCGGGTTACAAGATAATTTATCATTTATTTTCATCGTGATTATATTATCAGTAGGTCCTCTGTTATTAGTAATAGTTTTCACAATATTCCATGTAGTTTTAGTCTTGTTAGATTTTACTATAAGTGAGTTATAATGTAATTTTTTTGGCTGCTGTAATAACTCTGGTCAAGATTCTGCAATATTTCTTGAAATATTCTTTGACATTAGGATCATTGCTATTTCTCGAAACTAGATAGAGTATTCTTTTATTTGCTCATGAAATTTTAATACCAGAAGTTAGCCATGATTCTTGTGCATGTGGATATCATGTATCATGTGCAAATAAAATCATCTTTGTCCCTTTGATAATCACTGGCAGGTCATTTATGTATAATAGAAATAACATCAGTCTGAGAAATGAACCTTGTGGCACACCATGTTTAATTTCTTTTACTCAGAAACATGTTTTCCCAGAATTGTGCTTTTATTGCCATTAGTGTTTATTTCATCAGCTTGCTTCCAATGTGCTAAATATGATTCAGACCATGAGTTCACAATGCCTCTAACTCCATATGAATTTAATTTGACGAATAGAATATCATGATTTATAGCATCGCATGCTTTAGTTAAATCACAAAATATTATAATATGTTTTGTTTTTTTTGGATGGATTCCTGTATGCTTTCATAAAAGGAGATTATTGCTATCTTTGTTGACCTTTCCTTCCTGAATCCATGTTGCACTTCTATTACACATCAGCTTTTCTAAGATTTCTGAGAAAGGACATAGAACCTATATTGGTCTACAATTTTACATGTCACTTTTATCTTGTTTCTTATGAAGTGCTTTTAACTTTTATAGTCTTAAATCTACCAATAAAATACCTAATTCTATAAAGTCATTACAGAATGAGCTGATGGATTTTTAGTAGCTTCTATACAATTCTTGACCACATAATCTGGTATTTGACAAATGCCTGCAGAATATTTTCTCTTAAAATTCTTAGTCACTTCTTCTGCTTCAATCTCTCTTACTGGAAACTAAACATAGTTTCATTGCAACTGTTTATTTCCTGTGGTACTTGACAATTGCCCTGCTATTATCTGTCAGCTTCCACATTATCTCTGCCTTAATATTTTAAATTATGATGTAAATCTTTATAGGTGATGACAAGGAATGTACACAATGGTTCCATATATCTAATGTATTGTGACATGTTGTGCAACGGAGAACCCCCCGCCCCAAGCAGTGACGCGGTGGGTGAGTCAGCACTCC